AAACTCACTTTGATGAATAGATCAAATCCAATTCTTTCGGCATTGAAGGCATTGTGGATTTTTTCCCGTACGTTAAGGTCGCCAAGTTCTTTAACAGGAAATTTGATCTTTATAATACCTGTATCTTGTCCCTTCAGTTCTTGTTCAATTTTATCACGAATCTTTAAACATAAAGACCATTAGCCAAAACCATTTCGTTTTCATTATTTTTTGTCGGAGATGATGCTGAAATTTAGGGTCTCTATTTAAAAATATAAATTCTGCTAAAACCCACATATACTCTTTAATTATAAACCCTAACTCTAAATCCTAATCCAACCATTAAAAAAACGCCCAAAAAAGTTTAAAATTTCTTATTAAAATAAGTTCAAATTTCAGCATCATCCCGGACATTTTTTAAGTACCATTATCATTATATACCTCATCAAATTTGGATTGCTATTCATTGATGTTCCATTTTTCAAATCTAAATATTAATAATGATATTTTTTGACTAGTTATTTTTTTGTATAACGTTAGAAAAATACCCGAAAAGATTCTTTAGATCCCATATCACCAATATTTGCCATATTAGAAAAGTGGGTTACAACGTTTTCAGAATCCAAAGAACACGATAGCCAAAGCAAACACTTAAGGAAACCAAAAGATAAACAGGACAGAGCTGAGAAGGTTTAGATTATTGTTATTTATCGTTATGAATTCTACAAATATTCATCTAGAAAATGCATACCACAATTCCAACAGTAATCACAAAAATGATTATTGAAAGATTCGCAATAATTATTGAATAGATCGATTTTCAATAGAAGTTACACGTGAGATTCAAATGCAATTTAGATATATCGATATGAGTGCAAAATCTGGAACTTTATTATATACAGGTTTTCACTCACGCACCCATGTATTAACTTATCGTTATCGTTATACTGTATATCGATATGGGATCTTAAAATCCCCTTCAGGATTTTCTGATCTGGCTAATTCGGAAAAGTTTAGACCAGAATGTCGGTTCTTATTCATATGTAAAACATCTTTTACTTTACTGATTCGACAGTTTATTTAATAAACTATCGCTATCGAATAAATAAAGCAAAGGTGATTTACATATGAATAAGAACTGACATTCTGGTTCCGAATTAGCCCGATCGGACAATCCCGAAGGGTGATTTTCCTAGCAAAGATCCCATATAGCATTGGACATAAAATTTTATGTCCAATGCTTTTAAAATGCCAACACTGTGTATACGTACGTATCTGCAACAGTGTCTGAAATTCAATTTCTAAATTAGTTGCGGACCGCAATCAATTAAAAAAAACGAATTGCGAATTGTAAATATTTAGTTGCGCGCATGAACATTTAATCGAAACTTATAGGTAAAATTAGCAAGTTTATATGCAGAATCCGCATGTGCACTTCTTAGACTCCGCAACCCAATTTTCAGCAGTATCCATGCATATAATTTAATTTAATATAGATGTGGGTCTTTTTGAGGAACATCTTTTCGGAGAAACGTTCTTATAGGGAAATCTATCAAAATATTTGTCGGTGAAAAGGTTTCAGAAAAATTTTTGTCTGGGAACAGGGGTTCTGAAAAAGGATTTTGTCGGTGAAAAAGCCTGTCGAATAAATTTTTCAGAAATTCAGGTTGTCGGAAAAAAAAATTCGGTAAAAATTTTTATCAGTAAAAAATATACTGTCAGAAATATGTCTTGTCAGGAAAAAGTGATGTCGGAATTATGGGGTCGGGGAAATGGTATTTCGGGAAGGTGGGTTTCGGGAAAGTGAGGATCAACGTTTTTAGATACCTTCAAATTTTTATGCGATTTGGTTAACTTTTCGACCTTCACGTTATACATCGCAGAATATTAAATTAAATTAATTTACTGCGCCAAAACGTATAATGAACAAACCTAATAGTGAAAATTTATTCATATTTCGCCAAAATTTGAGGGCAAGTAAAGAATAATATTCCGAACAACTTTACTTAGTAAGAGAGATCGGTTTACTTAGTAAAAAATCTCGCTTCATGTGTAAAACGATAATTAGATGAAAAATACGCGGCAGATCTTCGATTTTGATTGGCTAAGAGCGAAGATCAAAAAAAATTAGGTCACAATTTTACTAATGAAATCGTTAAGTGAAGATTGTTCCTGGGCCAATTTTACTATAATGCGGGTTTATTTCTTAATAATTTATATTTTTGTAACGAAAAAAATTAAAAAGTTAATTCTGGTCGGAAATTAGTAAATACTTATATGTAATGCGGGCCATAGTGAATCGGACTAGAAACAGTTCAGTTTTTAAAGCTAGTCAAATTTGCCAGTGATGTCTTGTCGACAGAATATATGGTATACTTTGTGGTTTATATCAAGGTATTTAAAACATGTTAGTTCTTCAAAGCTATGGATTGCGGTATATACTGTAATTTAAATTCAAAAAATTTTAAAAAATATAATTTATTGGTAGATTTCTGAGCAATATTATTACGTTTCATAATCATTCGTTAAAGAATTGAACAACGTGCGTAGGACGAAATATCCAGTTGCGGAAAACCGATTATATGATTTCACAATCGAGTCCACATACAGTGTGGAGTATAGTTTATTTGCTAATAATGCGCGCAGTTCATAAACCCATGATATACCGATGTTAGACATCGCTTTCAAATAATTATTGTCGCAGCTGATGCTGAAAACGGCTGATGCTAAAATTTTTTCATATTTTATTATAAAATTATAAAAAATTTTTGGGCCTTTTTTTTACACTTTTTTTTCATAGTTAGGTTAGGGTTAGTAGGGTAGTTTTATTAATAAAAAAGTATATGTGGATTTTAGTATGTATTATAGATTTAAATAGAGACCCCAAATTTCAGCATCAGCCGTTTTCAGCATCAGCTGCGACAATTATTGATCTAAAACTGCACGTAAGTTCGGTTAAAATGTAACATACGTCAAATCTAATTAAGTATTTTTGAAATAAAAAAGCTTTTTTATTAAAAAAAAAGTCTAATGGTTTTTTTTCAAATATGAAAGACACACAACAAATATGATCGTCTTGTTATTTACAAAATCCGTCAAGATGTTTCGTGCCATTCATTCAATATTCTTTTTCAAGGTCAACATGAAAACCAAAGCCTTAATGTTTGGTTCTTAATACCTTAAATTAATTAAAGTTGAAATTATCGAAAGGTTGAATGTCCAATCGGATAAACATAAACGTGATACTCAAATTTATCCTTTTGATTTTACATAATGTTGGTAGCCTACAAAATTTAATCCAACCAAAAAGACTTCTCAAAATATCACAAATAAAAGCGAATACGAAATATATGAAGTTCAAAAATTTTAATAAAATTTGTGACTTTGATGTTTAATTTATTGAGAATTAAAATTTTAATTTAAAAAAACCTTAATAATTAGAGAATCAATTACAGTACGTATATTATTATTGCTGCATGTTTTAATATTTTATTGTTATTAAAAAAAAATATATCTACTGATTTTTATCAGTTAGAACCATAATTTGAGCCTAGACTAAATTGTTATATATTGAGAATATTACTGTAAATGGCCGGATACTAGATAGTAGACCCGTATCCGGGTGCAAATCACAGGATCTTCTTTAATTAAATGTGGTTCTTTTAAAAAATCTAGATTGTCTGTTATAAACGCAAAGTGTATATGCATTTCAAATTTTACATTATACTAGCTCCTCACGTAGCACCATGTGCCACAATTTATATTTAATACGATATGCAGTATATTGTATTAATAAGAGCTCTTCTATGTTTTACTATTCTGCATCCAGCAGTGTTGGCATATGACCAGAAATTATCTAAATGACTAAGTGACAAAGTTACAGATCATATAGTCATGTAACTTATGTGACTCTGATGTGACCTAATGTGATATAGACAAACTTTTTTCTAATTGGTCGGTCATATATATATATTTTAGAAGGTAATATTTTGCAAGTAAAAATGGTTGTCTCTGTTAAGTCACCTAATCATTCATAATGTGACCATAGTGACCAATGACTATAGGTTATGTGCATAATAACCAAGGCCATTTAAGAAACAACAAAATAACCTAGTCATTTACCAACACTGGCATTCAGTCCTTGTCTTTTGCGTCATTTGAGTGTGCTTGTGCAACTCATTTTACTATTATTATATAAGTAAGTTATGTTTTGATACGAATTTGTATAATTAATCTATTACAGTATATTAATTTCATTTAGTGTAAATTTAGATTGTAAATTGAGATTTGTATAACGAAAAATCGGTATTACGAATTTATATGTATTATAGTTTCATCAATTGCATTATTACTTAATAGTTTCGCTTAAGCAATAATAATGATAGTAAATTAATTTTATAGTTGGAGAATTATGTACTAAAACAACAATAACGAAAATGATCGAATACTATAGTTATCATAGAATCAGAATCGAATTAAGATGATTTCAAACTATCAAGTAGATATTCGAATATATAATTATTTACAATGATTAGAATACCAAGTATTGAATTTTATTTAGTGTAAAAATTACACTAAGATAGTAAGTGTAAAAGTCTTTTATTCTAAGAAGATTAGTCACACAATACACTTTTATAGAAGATTGTGCATTATATAGTTTGACTATAGTGATAATCCAATTTTTAAATAATTTAAAATTTAGCTTTAAACTTAGCATAATATACTAAATGTAAATATATTTATATTGCCAAAAATAATCACGTGCTATTTATTAAACAATAAAATTGGTATTTTGACAATTATCCCTTTGATTGGCTGGTGTTGCCAGACAGACATTCCACTTTAATATATAGATGATACAAACCCTTAGCCATGTACTATACATTAAAGAGGTTTAAAACTGGTGAAATGAGGTCTTGTATTCAGCCATTTATGGTAATTGTTTGGAAGATCATATTACACAAATAATGATCATAACAATGCAACTTGGAAGTTTTTTAAAACTTCTAGCAATGATTACTTAATAACTACTTGATTTAATTTGGTAAAAACTTTTTATTTTAATTCCATAGTAAATTAGAATTAAAATAAAAAAAGGTTCATTAAATTTGGTCTAGTAGTCAGTAAAAAATCATCACAAAATTTTTAAAAAAAAAACTTTAAAAATTTTAAAAAAACTAAAATCGGGTAAATTTTACTTTCTTTGAACTTTAACTGATGTTTTTTCAACAAATAAGTATTCAAATTTGATGAAATTTTTTTATTTTAATTCTGTGGTTCCATAGAATTAAAATAAAAAAAATTTTAATCAAATTTCAATAGCAGGTTGTCGAAAAATATTTATTAAAATCTAAAAAAAGTTTGGTCGCAACTTCTTTTTTGTAAGCACCAAAACTTTGAACGAAGATTACTCAGCACTTACCTAGTTAATTCGGTCAAAATTTTTTATTTTAATTTTATACGCTAATAGAATTAAAATGAAAAAAAATTATCAAATTTAATCAGGTAAGTGCCGAGTTATCTTCGTTTAAAGTTTAGATGTTTACAAAAAAAAAGCTACGACTAAACTTTTTTTTTAGCTTTTAATGAATATTTTACAATAGCCTGCTATTCAAATTCAATCAAAATTTTTTTATTTTAATTTTATGGAACTACAGAATTAAAATAAAAAAAATTTTGTCAAATTTGGATACTTG